CAGGCTTTGGATATGTTTGGGCAGTTTGCATGTGACCTTAGAAATAATAATAATTTATATTTATAATTACTTTTTTCCCAAATTCTGGTGGCTGAATGTATGAATAAATAATGTCATGACAATCATCTGTTTTGCATGGAAGTGGAAGCCCCAATTCCTTTTAAATTTAGCTGCCTTTTCCCTATGTGACTCTCTTGTTATCTGTCCACTGCTCTCTGTCTTTCCTGGTCAGGGAAACAGAAGTGCCTTGGTGTTTTGAAGACAGCACTCTCAACTTTACATTAGGGAAGCTATTAGAATAAAACATTAAGAGAAGCTTGCACCTACTGGCTTTCAACACTGGTTTCTGTCTCACCTGGAAAAAATATGCATGTATACTTGTTAGCATAAGAAAGAGCGAACAAGAACTGTTTGCAAGTTAATGTTGTCTAAAGATATTCCACTGACTGGCATGTTGCTGGCAAGAAGACATCTCTTCTGCTTTAAACTTTAATAACATATTATCTCCTCTGCCCATCTGTTGTCAAAAGAAAGATGTTGTTTGGAAAAAAAAATTCACAGTGAAGAGGCTTTCAAGGTCCTTTATGTGTGTTGAAATACGATGTTCAGGTATTTGATAACCCTCCAGGTTCCTTATTATGGGTATTCTTTTACATTATAATCAATGCTCTTTCATCTGATAAAACAAGGAATAAAATCAACCAAACTGCAAAATAATAAAAGGAGGAAATAATAGTATGTTTTCCTTCCCTTTGTAATGTCAGGGTACATAAGTTCTAGGCTTTGTTGCCTCCTTTGATTCTACATTAGTGCTGCCTTTTGGGATTCGATTTTGATATAAACCTATTTCAGAGAGTGGCTTATGGGGAAGTGAAATGATTTTTGAATACTTCGATGGGTGTCAATCCTTCTCTGCTCTGATGGCCATTCGGGTCACCTGACTAGCATATGGATATATATATTCCTTTCCTAGAAGCAATATATTCCTTTCCAAAGAAGCGAAGGTTTTTAAACCAACACTGTGTTTTCACAGTACGGAGGATTTTTTACCAAGTCTGGCCCTGCAACATGTTTTAATTGCATGACTGTGATGGCCATGTACTGTGGCAAGTGAGCAGGAACATGTTGCTGAAGACCAAGGAAGGCAGGGCAGCTCGCTAAGGCAGTGCTGCCGGTAGTATTGAGAAAGTGTTGCTGCTCACAGCTAAAATGAATTTTCCTTTGACTCCATCCACATCGCCAGTCCATGCAGCACAGGCCTGACTTCTCTCCTGAGCAGCCACACTGTGACAACGTGAGTGATGGGCATATGTTTGTCTTCTGACAGCAGTATCAGTCTTGCAGTATTTTAGGCCTGAGTTTAGGAGGACAGTGTCATTTAAAGGAGCACTTAGCAGAAGTGCAACAAATTATAAATTCTGTGAGATGTTTGACATGACAGAATTATTTGGCTGGACTTTTAAACCCTTTCCCAAATTCAGCTCAATAACCTGCTTCATTAAGCATACATCTAATTTTGCAGTAGAGCATGTTAGTTCTAGACGTGCTGGTAGCTCTGTATAATGCAGTACAACTCTGTGCAAAGATCCCAGCTTGGATCTTGAAGACCATATGGTTGACACTCAGAGGGTGTGGTTAGAAGGTGCTGTGAAGAAGGTCTAAACCGATTAATTTTACTTTATATTTGTACAGGCTAGAAGTTCACTGGATGAGTGGTAATTTGCTAAAATAACAATATTCAGTTGTTTGCAATCATATGAGCATTACTCCAGAACTTGGGGCTGCCCTGCACCGTTATGTTAGTTAATCTCCAGCTGCATTAAGACAAGAATGATGGTTTCTGTGTCATACAACTTGGTTAGTGGTCTGCAGTGTCTTATTTTAAGGTAGCATCTTGCTGTGGAAATTTAGTATTATCTCTATTAATGCACACAACATCTGTTGCACTAAAATCTTTGCCATGGGTGTAGTGGTTTTACTGCAACTATTGCAGTTGAGTCAAAATATCTGCCTGGGGCTGGAAGTGCTATTGTGATTCAGGAAATGGTTATAATTATGTGTCCTGTCTGTTTCGGTTCTGGCCAGTTAAAATATTTTTGATATATTTTCCTTTTAGGGTGATATATTGAATACCAAATACCAGGTAGATCTTGGAGATGGCTTTAAGGCGATATATGTGAACCTTACGATGACTGGAGAACCCATCCGTCACCGCTATGAGAATCCTGGGATTTACCGTGTCTCAGTGAAGGCTGAGAATGTGGCTGGGCATGATGAGGCTGTGGTGTTCGTCCAAGTCAACTGTAAATCAGCTCTTTGGTTTTCTTACTTTGCTGCTCTGTAAAAACCTCATGACAGCTATGAAGTAGTAAAGAAAATTACTGGTCACAATTAGGACAAATGCATATTTTTTCAATAACCTCACACAGTCTTGCAGTGCAGTATGTTGTTAATGCAGAGGCTTGTAAACCTAATGTATTAGGAGGTCAGAGTTAGTTTTGTTTGGATTTGGGAGAAGGATGGTGTCTCAATCTTTTAAATGGCAAGCATGCCTCAGTTCAAATCCCAGGTTTGATCCATCTCGCTGACTCAAGACCCCGTTGGCAGTCTTAGCAGCTAAAATTTAACACTTCAAGCTGTGTCTTTTTAGGAGCTTCTAGGTGCTGTGTGAAGCAAGCGAACAGGTGTGTTGAGAAACATATGAGCTCCTGTATGATTTTAAAAAAGAATCAAAATCTCAGTGTTTCTAAAAGTCAGGCTACTTATGAAAGTACTAGAATCTAGATTTTAGGTAGTTAATTCTCACAAAGTTTTAAAGTGGTGCTTGGGTATAACTTCATGTTGGCAGGCAGTATTACTTGACTTAGACTTCTCTCCCTCTCCTTAATTAAGACCTAAAAAACCCTATCAAATACATTTAAAAAAAAAGAGTAGCACAGCACAGGGAATATCATGCACCATCACAAGCTTAATGTACCTCAGTCATCTCATAATTGAAATGAAGAAGGAAACTCATAACTGGAACTGAATTTTCCTCTTCCTTCGAGAATCAAGACAGCTATTGCTTTGCCTGTTTTCAGATGTGTCAAAAATTCGGGAACAAGTAACATCAGAAGAGAAGATACTCATCTTGCATTCTCCAGGTTCTGTTTCCCTCTGCTGTGAGTGGTGTGTCTTCCATCCTAATCCCAAAGCAATGGAAATTGCTGGAGCCACATACAAGGCTGTGTACAGATCTGTGTGCTTTATGTCAGCCTGTCTGGTGACTGCTGATATTTATGTATTGCTAGTCAGAGTCCTTGAGTCCAGAGTTTCCAGTTCTGCTTTGATTAGCAGATGGAGCCCAACCCATTAATGCTAATGGCCAACCTCCTATTAAAATCAAATGGAAAGGATCCGAATTGAATTCTCCGCCTCAGTTTTGTTATCTGTTTCTTTGTTGTGTTTGTTTTTTAAATCATTTGACAACTCCAGAGAGCTCAGATAAATTACTTAGGGCTTTACCGTTACTTTTTAGGAGCTTCTAGGTGCTGAGAAGTAGATTAAGCACAGGAACAGTAGATCTGTACAAGCAACAAACAACAAAAAAACTCTGTAACATCCTTCTCTCTGGGGAGAACAACTTCTTACCGTTCAGAGAATGACGAGCAGTAGCAAGCCGTGACGGAAAGCAGAACAACCGCTCTCTCAAAATGTGCTTCTGGTGTGGCCTACATCAGGATAAACAGTATAAATAAAAGATATCGATTGTGTTTTATGCAGCGGATTTACAAATTGCAGAAGCCAGAGGTATTTTTCACAAGGAAAATGACTGGTGCTTTAAGAGGACTTCAGTGCTGAAGTGCGGAGGCAGCAGAGCACTGAAGCAGACGTGGTCCATCCCTGAGCTTGGCCGTGGATGCTGCGCGTGGTCTAGAAGACTCACAGAAGCATGTTACCTGGTCCAGTTGAATAAATGCTTTCTATGTGATTTGCTCTGTTTAATTTTTTAGGTAAATTACAAGATTTGAGGAAATTAGCTGGCACTAATTAAACTGCAATTTTATGTTCTAGAGAAACACTAATAGCCGCTCAGGGACGTTTTTCACCGCGGAATACCATGAAAGCAGAAATGTCCATAGAATCCTGCTTTCACTCTATCTCCAGCTGATGTATTCCCAGGGCATTTTTTCAGAGACAAATGGTAAAGAGAATCTTTTTTACTCCTGCCGAGTTCTGTTGCTATGGGATGCCCTGTAATGCAGGACAATTATATGAGCTTCAGCCTGTCATCCAGATTATGCTTTCTGGTCCAGATCACACAATCTACAACTTATTAATGAACTGTAAGAGAAATTAGAGCAAGTCTGATAGTATAAACGTGAAGAGGTAACCCAGAATAAAAAGAACTGAAGCAGAACTAGGCATACATTTTCTTTTTCATGAAACCATAATCTCTATAGTGTGTGAATAATCAGGAAGCTCCGAAAACTGTACTGAAACTGTAGCTTTGTTAAACAGAAATCGTGTAAGTCAACTTCATTCCGAATGGTACATATTTAAGGGTGCGATGAAGCTTGTTCAAATGCGTTATGGAACTGCGTGACTGAGACAAGCAGAAGGACTCACAGTAATTATTTTTAGCTCTTTAATATATAGGAACGGCAAACCTGAAATAACAGTCATCATTCAAGTACCAAACAACTTCCCCTCTAAAAATTTTGGAAAAGAAAGTAACCTTCTTCGGTAGCAAAACCGTATCTCAAAATGATCAGTTTCCTCTGGGAAAATGTAAATTTATGGCAAAATCAAAATAGTGATGCAGATCCCTCCAGAATTCTTTAATTTGCCTCATCAGAAGGAAAATCTGTTTCTAGGAGGAATAAATTTAATGGAATTCCTACAATTTCTGAATTTTCCTCAAGACATCAGCAACAGGAGGAGCATTTTAACTGTTTCGGAAAAGAAGCTATTGAAGCAACCTTTTGTTTAAGCACCCAACATGTCTTGAATTCACGTAGGTGGTTAAAGAAGTCATTGGAGAAATGAAGTAGAGCAGAATGGAAGTAGAGCCTGACATTCAGATGAAGCAGCACACAGGCCAGTTGAAGTGAGGTAGAAAAGGAGGGTGTGCACAGCTCGGACAACTTGCTCTCAGAGAAGTTCAAGCGGTTTAGTCAAAGTGAATTAGAAGCAAACGGGCAATGATTCAGTTCATGAAAGAGAGTAAGAGAAAGACTTTGGACCAGTGTTAATTACCTTTAAGTTTGCACTGAGATGAAAGACCTTTGAATGAGTTAAAAGATAGTTAGAATGGAACAAAAAATGAATGGGTTAGTATTCATTCTGTGTAATGAATGCATGTTGGACCATACAGCGGTTTGGTATCCTGGATAGATGGTGCAGCTGAAGTTAAGAAATTCTAGTTATCACATTATACTATTATAAAGCTTTTCCCTTCAGACATGCTGAAAAAGATACACTCTGAAACCTCTGAGGGTTCAATAAAGTTATTGTACTAGAAGCAAAATACAACATTAAGAAGCAGATAAAATCATTGTAATGATGCATTTCTTTTATACAAATAATAATGTTTACAGCCTTCGTAGGCAAAAGTTCAGAAAGGAATAAACTTACTCTAAGGGACATTTTAGAGTACAGAGGTTATCTGTTTCGATTTGCAAATAAATGCTCCCCTGATTTACACATCTATTTTAAAGCATGCATTAATGAGAGTTTATGTGTGGTGTGAGCCTAACAGCTAATATTTTATAATGAAAATGTGTAGTCAGCAACATTCTTTTTCAGTTTTCTGCTTTTCCCTTAGCAGTTTGAGATTTGTTAGATTTCTATTTATTTGATCTTTTATTACTTAAAAAAAAAAAAAAAAAGCTGAGATTGCCTTTTCCACTTTTTAACTGGAATATTTATGTTTTCTAGAATTGGACATGCACCAGTGCATCAGAGAGGTGCATTTTGGCGATCTGTCACATTGCCGTAGGATTTTGTTTGTGGGGTTTTGGGTTGGTTTTTTTTTTTGGTTGAAATGAGGTCCTTCCAATTATGCCCGCAGTTTTCAACACAGATGTAAAAGCAGGAGGGAGGGAAAAATAAATTCAGGACCTTATGGTGTGCAGGTGAGAGGCTTTTGGGCAAAGAGGTATTAATAAATTGATGGATTCTTGTTCAGTAATATTTTTGGAACTTTGTTCAGCTCCACTGCAGGCTTTAAATTTAGAAGTGGTTCCAGTTGTTGGGAGAAACCAGGAGGTGAATCTGACAGCCATCATACTGCCTAAGAACCCTAATTTGACAGTCTTCTACTGGTGGATAGGAAGCAATCTTCAGGTACATGAATGTTTTTGACTGAGATTATTTTCAATCTCTTTCCAATAAAGGTTGAGTGACACCTTTTACTTTAATAGAAATACTACCATGTTGCATAACTTCTTATAGACCATCTTTCATTCCAAATAGCCAGTTATATCTAGTGGCAAGCAGTATCTAACTTCCTTTGTTTTATCACATACATTTAAGGTATACATTTCCCTTTGTTGCTACTTATGTGGAAATGCAAATTTCTCTTCTAGAATGGGTTTGAATTTCTGAACCATTTTCTTTTGGGGGAACAACAATTCATTCTATTTTGTTACCTGTGGAAAAAACCTTGTGGAGGGGGATGCATTTCAGATCATAGCATTGGTGAATGATGAAACTTGGATTTATGCACTTCCATGTTGATAGTGTGGATACTTTAAATTTAAGTGCTGTACAGAAGTATATATATATTCATCGTATAGATAAATATTTTTGGGGAGTCTAAAATAGACTGCCGTATCAAAAATAACAGGGATGTCTAAAAGGATATCAAAACAGTGAAAGCACTCAAACAATCTAGTGATATTCATTTGGGCATAGAAAGTCTAGATAAACATGTAGTAGACCAATAAATTTCCAAGTATTTCTATTGGGAATATTTCTTGTCTAGCTGGGTTAATTTCTTTAAGGTAATTCTTCAATAACAGATAAGTAAAATATTTTCTTTATGAGGGAGACTAAGTATGACAGAGGAATGCTTCAGATAAGCGCAATGAACTTTCTTCTTGTAAATGTGCTGTCTACCGTAATCCCAGCCTGTATCTTTTCGTTATTATTGACTTTGCCATTGCTAGAACAGGCACTGCAGATTGATTAGTCTTGTGAAGGGTTTTGTAATTCATACAGATGTGGTCAGGTAACAGAATATCTCAGTTCCGCTATGGAGGTTATGGTGGGCTGGTGCACTTCCATAGGTCGTGCTCTAAGTTGACAGAATTAATCCTTTTGACCTTGACTATACCCCACATTTTTCGAGGCAAATGGCTTGCTATATATGATCTTGTAGAGATTTGTGAACCTGACTCACAATCTGTTTATTTCAGTGGGATCCGAATGAAAACCTAATACTCTACCAATTATTCTAAAAGAAATGTTTGGCCCATCTGACAGCTATTCTGTTTATAAACATTCTATTTAGACATCCTGTATTGAAAATTGTAACGGAACAATTTGATAAAATGTTGATTAATTGAAACCTTTTTTGCTAATATTTTTAGTGACGGTCTCTTCAGACACTGTTCTTGTGGTTCTTGCTGAAATTCTATTTTCAACTCTTCTTTGTTTTTTAAAGCCACTCCTTACATTGGACAATTTTCTGGTGACAAAGTTTGCTGAGACAGGTGACGTCAGAGTTACAGTGCAGGCTTCCTGTGGGAGCTCCATGCTTCAGGACTCGAAAGTTGTCCACGTTTTTGGTGAGACATTACTCTTGTTAATTTTTTTTTTGTTTCACATGTACTTGTTTCTTATACCTCTTAAACCAGCCCTGACACAACTGAACCTGTTGTAAAATTATATCTAATGCAACATTTAATTGTTAAAATTAGAGGGATGAACTGTCACTAGGTAACTCCATGAAGTTGGACAGTGTGGTTGTATGGAAGGGTTTCATCTGAAAAGTTTTGTTTCCTTTGCTTATTTTGAGTCTTACTGCGGTTTCCAAATACTATGTGTAGCAATAGTGTTTAAGTAGTATTTTGGCCTATGACTCGAGAGTTTCTTAGAATTTCTAAATAAAGTAGTTTAAATACCTCTGAAAAAAAGAAAATTTAGTTGTGTATATACTCTCAGCATTAAAAGCAATGTGAAATAATTGTCTTTTATGACAATATATCACTGTTCCTTTGATATTTATCTGAGAGTTTGGGTCAAGTATAGCTCCACTGTAATTACTGAATAACCCTTCAACTCTTGTTTCGCATTGTGCCCTGGTGTGTTTTGTTGTGTCGTATAATGTGGTGGCAAGGCATAATATACTGTAAAAAATGTAGTGCTGATGAATTATTTACATTTGTATCTGTGCTGTCACATGTGGGAATTGTGATAAGTGAAAAAGCTTCTTTTTAATGCAGAGCTAAAAGCCTTCAGATATCATGAAATACACAACATGATACATCTCTATTGTCTGAAGAAGATTCTGTTATTTTTGCTTTTAGTATACTTATTAATTTTAAATAATGGTAAAAACCACACTCATGCTAAATGCAGCTTTTATGAACCTTCTCCTTTCCTAAGATAAATGGATTTAACCACTTATACATGCATCCACTTTTTTAGAATTCTTTAGAAGTATAACCCATGTTAGTGTGACCAGATCAATGACTTTGGCTTCTGCTCTTAGTGCTGGCCAATCCTGATACCAAGAGCACGAAAGTACTGGTCTTGGGGGAAGTAAAGAAACCTCTGGAAAAGAAAATCACATTAAAATACAATTCTGTTGGAAGCACTGGGGAGGCCAGGTTTGACTCATGCATTCCAGAGGATCTCTTTCTCTGCTTTGCATTAAGTTCCCCGGGTGTTCATCCAAGGAACCAATATGGAGAAAGGGAAGATTTGAGAGACCTTTTACTGAGGAACAGCCCATTTCTGGTATTTCAGATATTTTGGACAATATCCAGAGAAATGTTGTGGGTGTACCTTGGTTTTTTTTTTTTGAAGAGGGCAGTAGTTAGCCTTTGGTATATAATTTCTGTTCTTATTTTCATAGCTAGTTGATGGAATACATAAAGTATTCATTTTACATGAAAAGCAGGAACATGTAATGGGCAAAAAACACGTTTATGATTCAGCAAGAATAAAATCCATTGGCGCATTCCCATTACAAATAAAAGAAACCAACCATGTCTGTGGGGTGTATTGTCCTAAGGAAAAATTATTGGGAAGGTTATGATCCCAGAGCCAGTATGTAAATTTGCTTTGTTTATTTATTTTTCTTCCTGCTTTTTTATCTTTAGGCACAAATTTGATGATGTTGATGAAAATACAGAAAGAAATTGAGTACCTGACAGGAGTGTACTCTTGCTCCCTGCAAGAGTACACAACAGAGAGCAGTGGGGTTCCTAGATACTGCAGCGCTGCACAGCAAATAATGCCAAATATATGTTTTCAGCTTTTGTTTCTGCAAAACGGTTTCTGCAACCTGGTTTGTCACTTATTAAAAAATGTTTATTTTTGTTTTTTCTAGATCATTTTCATGTTCTTCCTCTGAAGTTTACTAAGCATCTGGACATGTACAACCCCGACATACCGGAGTGGAGGGAAGACATAGGGCAACCTGGTTTGTTACTTGTTAAAAAATGTTTATTTTTGTTTTTCTAGATCATTTTCATGTTCTTCCTCTGAAGTTTACTAAGCATCTGGACATGTACAACCCCGACATACCGGAGTGGAGGGAAGACATAGGGCGGGTAGTAACGCGACTTCTTGCAAAGGTGCTCTTTCAGATTGCTCGTAAAATGTTCCCTGGCCAGTCGTAAAGCTTGAAGGTTAAGTTAATGCCTTCTCATTTAGAAAAAAGGAGGCAGAGCAAAATAATAAAGTGAACCTCATGAGCCATATTTCAAACAAGTCTGAGCCTAGCGTCGCTTTTACATGCAGGCTGTAGACGATGATATCGTAACACGGAAAGTTTAGGTCTAACACAGCCTAATTGGCAATTAATGCTAAATATTGCTCTCTGGGATTAGGGATAGACATATTGGCAAATGCTGCTGACTCCAAAACAGGAAGAGTAGCTTAAATGTGATATATTTAGCAGTTAAGCAAAGGATGCTGTGTAATATAAAAGACATAGGCTTTGGGTAAAAACAAAGCAGAAAGGGAAAATTTACAATATCAGTTGTGTAACTTTGAAAATTATGTATAATATATAGGCAAGCGGTTCGCGCAGCTGTTTTTTTAGATCATATTAGCAAAAGAAATGTGGATCAGGTGCAGTTGAATCCTGTAGGTTAAATCAAGTACAAAGCCATGCAGCAGTTCTGTGAAAAAAGTAAAAGCACCCCATAAAAACTGTGAGCTCTAGAGCTGCGCTTTTCAGGAACACACGCTGCCAGCAACTGAGTGTGGACACACTGACTTTTTGTGAGGACAGTAGCACTGAGGTGCAGGTTGATAATGTTTTGTAAATGCTTGTGTTTGAAATCACTTGTCTTTTCCTGGATTTACGGTAGTGCAAATCAGGTTCTGGAATTTTGGCTTTATACTTTTTCCTGCCTTTTTTTTAAGGTTCACATCAAATGTCAAATTAAAGTAAATTCCCACTTTTCTCAACGTAAACCCATTCCATAACCAGTGTCAGTCAAACAAATGTTTTAATTCCTTATAAAATTGTCCTTGCATTTTAGTAATTACTAAATCATTTGCAAAAGAATATGAACAATTTAATGGAGTTTCGGAATCTGTTTGAGGAAAGAAGGCTACGGGAAGTGCCCTGGGTGTCATTAGAATTGTGTGGCTGTATTATACAACACATGGAGGAATTTGGGACTAAAAGCAAAAATTTGCACAAACTATTTTGAAAAGGAACGCACTTGACTTTCAGTGGGGGCTGCGGGTATTCATAACGATTTCAGGACCTGAACCTAGGTGCTCTTAGTATCACCCTGGAAGACTTCTCTTCCGTCCATCAAACACGATGGAAAAGCAGCCTCCCTAAGCTAAAGTTAGCTGTAATGAATATGCCCTTCTAAGTCTACAGAGTGTCTGAATGGCCCACAAAGGATCCTAAATCACTTAGAAACTTGTTTTGTGTTACCCTAGAAATGCACAGCCGTTTCAGAGTTTTGCTAAAGCTGCATACTTTGTTTTGCTTCTTTCCATGATGCCACTAAATCTCTTCAATGCGATAACAATGCTTAGCTCTTCCAATCTTCAAAAAGCAGCTCACATTTCAGGTAATTTATGTTTGGCTTTGTTCATGTTTTAACTTCTGGTGGAATCCCCTCTAAATATTAAGGATCTGAACACCAAAGACTAAGAGACACATGTGGAGTTACTTAAGTATTTTCTATAAAATATAAAGCATGCTGTCCTATAATTTGCCATATGCCTTTGTATTCACAGGAAACCAATATACCCGAAGAAACACTCATGACAGTCGTGAAACCTGGTCTGCCCACAACTGCTGACTTACATGTGCTACTACCAGCAAACCAACCAAAAAGGAAGAGAAGTGTAACTAGTGATAAGGTAACCAGAGCAATGTATGTCTGGTTAGGACAGTCTTCATCCTGTGTTGCAATCAGTGGCTGTACTCTCATTGTCTTTATGTGAAATTAAAAGGTGCTCCCTAATTATGTAAAGATCTCACTCCCACCTGACAAGAGACATGTAAAAGCTAGCAACAGCTATGACTGCTGTCTTTGACAGTGTATAGACCAGTATAATCTAGTGCTCGCTGGTATTAGTGTATTTCTTAAGAATAACTAATATTGATCTGTTTTTTAAACAGAAACAACAGTGATGGCATGTCAGTCTGTGAAGATCTGGTAGAGCAAAGAGTGTATTTGGAACACTGATATTTCTAAAGAGGGACGAACCATCTCTGCACTGTCTTCAGAAGCAAATTAGATTTCAGGTCAAACAGAAAAGAACCTTTAATAGTTGACCTATAATGTAAAGAGCATCAAGTAGGTAGTTTCTGCCTTTATGAGCAAATGTCCTTTTCAATTGGCAAGAAACAAATATAGTGAACACAGGAATGAAAATCAGACATTAGTTTCTCTCTACTTATTTCCAAACCGTATTTCTTCCATAATAAAAGACCTTATGCTCGTTAAAAATCAGAAGACTGGCACTTACAATTTTTGATATTCGTCCTTTTGCTGTGATAGAGAAGGAACAGATCCCAACACAGTGCCTGTATCTTGTAGTTCAAGTCCTGCCAATTACAAAGAATCCCAATGTAAGGTATCGTTAATTTTGAAGGGCATTTTACAACTTTTTGAGACAAGGTCACAGTATCCAAAGAGTTGGGGAAGTAGGTAAGGCGAAGCTCTTCATATTAACACAAAACTGGTAAGATTGTGTTTGGAATTGATCGGGTACATTTTGGAATGTCCAAAGGAGTATGTTGATGTTGTCCAAGTACTTGAACAGGTGTCTTAGTTTAAAATGCACAGAGTAGAGTGTGAATGCACAAAATTTTCTGCTCTGTGGCAACCCAAACCCTTACTGTTCTGCCTCTGCAATCACAGTGGGAATTTCTGGGAGCCTGAAATCCTGATTATGTTGCAGGAAACGATTAATTTTAGTAGGTTGTTTCTTTAGTAGAGAGCCATTCATGAACTATGGCTTTCAGCCAGGTGAGTATTACCACTTCAAAATTATTTGCATCGTTCCACTTCTTGAAGAAGTGAGGTGCAGCTTCTAAAGGAAATTCTTTCTCTTTATGCCAAGCATATATGGAATGGACGTCTTTAATAATTTAAGGGAACTGATGGTGATAGATTCTCAGGTTGTGCAAACATTTTATTTCAGTGCAAAGTGTTATGCATATTAGTTCTCTTTAAATCTCAACTGTTATATTAGTGCTGTGCTTCAAGGCAGCATGAAGAATATCATTAGTTATAATCAATGCTGTCTCAAGGTTTATTTTCATGTTTGTGTATGAGATACCCTGTGAGTTACTCCAAAACATAAAGAACAATCACATGTTGCAAATGATTTGGGAAAACTTTTGTTCAGTGGGGCTGTGGGGAAATTACAGTAGTTTAGCAGGACACAGTTTCTGTAATAAGTAGTCCTCCAGTAAGACCTTGCAAAGGTTTTCTGAAACTAGAGGAGCACTGAAAGGTGAAAGTAATTGTATAACCTGGAGAACAGATGTATATTTCTGACATTGTTAGAGTGGACCAGGTCAGGGGATGACATGTATGGAAATACCAAATATGGTACAACCTACATTTGGTTGGAGCAGGAACAAGGGAGACAGAAGCAATTACAGTGACCTATGCTGTCCAATGATAAAAAATCAGGTACACTAGTATCACATTTCGACACTTGATTGTTTTATAGAGAACAGTGTTATAGAGCCAGTCTTCTACTGCCAGCTGCCTAAATTTCTATTTTTATATTATTGCTGAGGGACACTACTTGAGCTACTGATATGTGCATATACATTTGTTGATTTAGAATTGAATGGCACAAATTTTGATAAAATATGTGTTGTATTAGAACCCATTGTGACTTGAGAAATATCCTGAAAATATACCCTATCTAAATAAACTTAGAAGCAGTGACTGGTGAAGTCAACAGGAAAATACTCATGATGTCACTCGTTTAAAGATTTGTTACATTTTCTTCTGTTACCAGAAGAGAATCTGGAAGGTCTTCATATGTTTCACTGGAAGGATGTGCTTTGTCATGCTGCTAGTGCCAGTTATCAAAGTCAGTGTTGTGACACTATTGCGAGGATACACCAATGCAGAATGTTTTCTGCACATTTGGAGGAGGTGTCCCTGAAATCCTTAACTTAGACATAGTTATGAAATGTCTTCCCCTAAAGAGAACCTATTTGTTCTTGGCTGAAAACCTTTTAGATTTGGGATATTACGTGATTTCAGAAGGCAATAATTTCTTGGTCAGGCAGAGAACACCTACTTGGTGGAGTTTCTATTGGTGTTTTAAATGAAGTGTTGTGATGTGATGCTATTTATTAAGTTAGTGGTCTAGAATAGGAGTCATTACTGATAAAAGTAGTCAGCAATAACAAAGATCATAAATAAGTTGGCAGTGTAGTAGTAGGAGCCCTTTGAACAATTCCGAATTTGGTTCCATTCTAACAAAAGCCCTTTTTCTTTCAAATGTATGCATGTAGAAATAAAAGCTGAGTGTGATTAACCTGGTTTTAAGAACACAGCAATTTCAAAATTATTTCATTCTAATCATTGACTCTAGAGGAAGACTTGGTCACTTAATTTATGCACATCTATTACATGCCTAATGTCAGGTGGGATGAGTCCAGTTGAAAGAGTCAGTTAAAGAGCATTTAAATTATAGCCTGAAAAGCAGTGGCTCTGAGGAAGATTTGGGGCTCTATCTAGACAAACCACTACACGAAAATTCCCAGTGAGTTGCTTTGGCAAAAAGGGCAAGTCAGAGCCCCAGATGTATAAATAAATGGGTAAGAGTTTGAATAGTGTCATTATTTTTGCATTCTTAACCACAATGCAGGAGCTATTGTGTTCACATGTTCAAATATTATCATTGGAAAGGATGTAGAAAAAGAAGATAGAAAATTCAAATGCTGGTATAAGAACCTTAACTTAGAGAGTCTAGAGAGGAGCTCCAAACACTGGATTTGTCTTTTAAACAGTTGGAGAGGTGGCAGCACTGTGCTCAATAAATACCTCAGGGCAGAAGAAAACCCCATGTGTACTGAAACAACTATCGATCTAACAGTGAAATAAATAATCCAGAACCTTTGGCTGGATTCACATAAGATTCAAATTTTTGACCTGTGGAAGTATAGTTCGTATAGGCTTGGGTGGGAACCCAGGGGTGGGGAGAGAAATAACGAACAAATGTTAGTCACTTAAGCAAAAACCAGAGCAAATGTTGAATTCTTCAAACGCCTGCCAGGAAAATATGATGTATCCAAAGTTAGAGGGCTCAGTAATTTTATTTACTGGCTGAAAGTCAGATTAGCCTAAAGTAGTGGTCCCTCTTGCATTGTATACCATGAACATGTGAATGAACCTGGGCTGAGACTAAGTTACTCTATTTCAGCGGTGCCAGCGTCACTTTAAAGGCTGCTAACCAATATAGTTGTCATATCCATTCTCTTTTCAGACTTTGGGCAAACAGATAAATACTTAGGAGCTATCTGGAGTAATTGTCTTGTAAAGTAACTGAGGCCATCCTCACATCACCCTTATGTTGAGTCATTCCCCCCCCCCAAAAAAAGTAATAAAGTCAGTGGAATGGCTTCAGAAGTTAGATATTCCTCAATATGAGTGAGGATATTTGAATTTGAACTTTTGTGTAGTCTCTGTCCATAACATGAGAGAGACTACAGGGATTTCAAGACTACAGGGATTTCTATCTATTATACTGCAAAGGCTTGTCAAAGATGAACACCGTAATTGATAATATCATAAAAGGAGTTGCTCGTGAAGGTTTCATGGATATAAAGCATATTTCTAATTTGGCATCCTGTGGGAAGTCATATCCTAAATTACAAGGCATAGAGTATAAAACTAGCTTTGATCTTTTAGAAAATTACCCATGTTGAAGACACAAGCAAGTAGAAGGGAAAATTCAGACAATTTGTCACCTGGGGTTAGGATATGATGGTATATTTAATGGTTCTGCTCCATAAAAATGTGAGAGACCATATTTTACTATGCTCTATCCACTGGAGAAAAATAGGAGGAATCCTGATTTTTTCCACATGGATGGATGTATATATTTCTACAGAGTATTGTTAAAAATCAGGTATAAATGGAATCCATCTCATTATAGGTAAGGAGGTGAGGTAAATTATGACATGCAGTTCATTATCAAATAGCAGTTACTTTTCATAGCAAGACATCTAAAGTGACATCGCAGGTTTTTTTCTGATAGGTTAGAAAAATGGAGAGTTTTTAATATGGGTTATGCATTGTGTGAGTTATGAGCCAGGTCAACCCAATAGCGCGTGCAAATGACATGCTGTCTGTCACATACTGGGTAAAGGGTTTGGTAAGCAGAAAGAAAGATTTGGCTATAAAGTTTTGACATTTTCAGCTTTTATGGCTTGCGGAGTTTTGCATGGGTTTTAAATATGAAATTTCTTTAAGATTTCAGCTCATCGTTGACAAACGCTTTCTGAGTTTCTCACCATTTAATGAGCCAGAGGTTTTCCTTTTTAGAGCATTGAGTCTTTCAAAGTGGAACGGAATGTGAGATGTCTGACATTCTCTCTGTTGTATTTTCAGAGAATAGCGGCTATAAAGCAGGCCTTGAATGCACACAACATCAGTTTCTTTCTGAGGGGAGGATACTGGGTCTTAGTGACTTTAGCTGACTCCGGTTCAGGTAAATATATAAACAAAGCTCCCAACAGACCAACCTTTGGATGCTTGTCTGAGTTTAGATAAGTTAAGGAGAAAATCTTCATATCAATATATATATGTACCTATACACACATACATGTATACTTACTCGGTACTTGTTGCATATAGAGACACACATAAATATATATGTGTGTGTATATATGTATGTAAATATATATATACATACACACACACATGTATACATGGATATATTTTCATTTGGTACTTGTTAACAATCACCACAAAATAAATATTTCTTACATATTTCCATTTTGTCATACCTCCTGATTTGTATCAGAAGCTTCTTGCTTTTTTCTGTGTAACCATGACATTAACTAAATACCTATATTATACAAACCAGTGCCCTGAAGGAAGAGCCAACCAGGCTTCAAAAAAAACATCTGGTGAAGCACTTTGGCTGCACTGGCTGCCAAGAAAGCAGAGCTTCTTTACTTCAGCCAGATATAACTCCAGGGGTCTGGGACATAGCATCTCTGCCTTCTATCTCTGATCTTCAAATCAACTGACGTGAAGCTTGTTGTAGGGTTTCTGCATTGCTAATCCTGTCCTGAGATAAATTATATGCTTTTTCTGTGTTTAAAACAAACGGAAACAGGTTTTTTGCATGCATTTCATGCATCTCTGGATTCACTATGTACCTGGAAACTGGTTGAAGAGAATATGTGTGCATACATGTGTGCATATATTGAACAGAGATACGTTAAAATGATGTTTTAACCAGAAGGTTCACCTTGTATTAGACGTTCTTGTAATTTTTATTTGTGTATCATATCCCATAATATATCCTTCTTTGTTATTTCAGTGTGTTGTGGGAGAACAGTTTAGCTGACCACAATCAATTTATGTAAATACTGGCGTGATATTTTATCTGTCAGCCCTCTGTAGAATACAAAGCTGTTTTATCTAGTCTCGTATGTAGGATCGTGCTACAGTCTCGCTGTGGTACCTCATCTGGTTCAAAGGGCTAACATGCGTTAGCCAGCCCAAAAGGCTGGGATTGAAAGAAGCCCATGTTCATTCCAGCCTTTACCAATGTATGACCTTGATGAGTTCGTTTGTTGTTCAGAGCCTTAGTTTCTCCATCTGTGAAATAATACAGCCCTGCTTTTGCAACACATATACTTAGGGTATGTGATCATTTCCTATGATAACTTCAGATTCCCAGGAAAAAACCACACTGCGTATGCAAATAATTAAATCTTCAGGGTTTTGGTTTTTGTTGTTTTTTTTTTTTTAATTTGTCCTCTGTCCTTCAGTCACAAGTCACCAATTAATTTTGGTTTGCTGCCTTTTTGAAGAGGCTACAGATGGAGTTAAAAGAAGAGGTTACACAAACAACAACAAATGTTTGTGACCTGGCAATTAGATAGAAAAGAAAGCCCAAGAATGTGACTGATCTGAAAGAGGACGTGCTAAGCTGTTCTTTTATTTCATATTTCAGACTCTCAGAGGATTGGAGGAGGCAGTGGCTACTGGGCTATTGTGGTTCTCTTTGTTATCTGTCTAGTTGCAGTTGGGGCTTTCATCCTCTACAAGTTCAAAAGGCAAGTAAACCTTAATCAACAACATACACATTTTAAGAATTAGGTTTATCCACAGATCAGCAAAACAGAGTTTGTTATTTGAAAAGGAGATTTCTTAAAGAATTGCAAAAAGTCCACCGCTTTGAAAATTGTCTTTTTCTGAACTTTTCAGGCATCAAGATACTTCACTGACGCTTGTTTTCACTTGCTGTGTTCCAAGATAAATAGCAGCAATATGAGAACTATGGAGAGTTTGTTCAGCTTGTCTAAATAATATAATCAAGAAACAGAGATGAGCTAAAATATTATTCCTGATTAATTCCTACTTCATTACAGTTATGAATAAACTATCTCATAGCAGTTATGAATAAACTAAAGCTATCGGGACAAGGAGTGCATCTGCAATGCTGATTTGCTTAAAAAAGTAGTTTTATCAAAACACATAGCGCTCTGGAGTTTCTGTTTGCACACATTACATTTTAATTGCTGGGGCAATGCCATGTAGAATGACTGGTGGAAATAGATTGGCGTTAATTTGACACTAGAGTGTGTTGAGGGGAGAAACAATTCTGGAAGTGGCCCTTCTGCAAGACATATTCTCAAAATTGAGAAGGGATGCCATGCCAGCCGTTGACAGTCCAATATATCTTTAGTCTGCAATTGGTTTTAATCAGAGCTACTAGGGTACTGTGCAACTTAAAGAATTTTGTTCTTATTCATGAGTCTGTGTTATCATTGGCTATGCTTTTGGTATTTTTGTATCTCTCGGGCATTTAGAAGCTATTGGGTTTGAGCATACTGGAGACAAGCCTTCATCGTCATCAAATCCTGATGTCCTTACACAGTGAGGATTCCTATTGATTTGTCTTATTTTTTAAAGATTGGGTTTTACTTGAAATAAACATAAGTTTATAGAAATGGGTGCGGCACTGAGTTTGTGATAGCGATAAGCGTAGGTAGCATTTAAGTAAGAGTTTGTTTAGATAAAGAGTTTTTAAGTCAATAGAGAAAACCCCCTTTTTCCAAGTATCTCTCAATTTTCTCACTGCAGCATCTAAGTTTCTTAGAGCTCATAGTGGCTGATTGCTCTAAAGGACAAAGCACAGAATGCTGTATCAGACTGTCTCCAACTGAATAAAAATCCATTTCGCTATTTTAGGTGCCTGCTGCAAGGAAAAGCATAAAAATGGTTGATGTGATGTAATTATATTATTTCAGTAGCAATACATGGAGGATTTGCTGTTTGTAGTGTGGGATCATAAAACTTGCTTGTGATATCTTTCAAAAGCTGTATGATTTATATATTTTATTAGCTCTTAAATGAGAGCAATTAAATAACAGACACAATTATTGCATGGCAAAAGAAGTATAAAATATTCAAGAAAGGAAGAAAAAAATTATTTTCCTTGAGTTCTTTCTAAAATGCCCAATGAACCATTGCTTTATAAAAAGTGCTTTTATTAAGGAGGAAACTATAGTACAATTTGCAAATTGCAAGCTTTAATGTCTATCACACTTCTATATATAATTTGTGAAAATCATTTGCATTTAAATTTTGTGGAGGTTTAATTTAGGTGTGAGTGAGGAAAATTGTGAGATATATTCAAATGTTTCTCAGTAGCCTGAAAACTGCTGTTGGCATTGATGAATGACCACGCAGTAGTATTCAATTTTAGTCCGTATCATATCTCTTTCTGAGATATTTGATGGAATTATTTTTAAATATTCCTGCTAAGCTTTTCCAAGATGACAATTTTTTTAGGTTGCATCCTTCATTTGCAATTTGATCTTCGAAGAACATTGAGCACCTAATTGGTGCTACGTTTGAAAAATCACTTTTTCCCTGTGTGCTCCCTGTGAACTCCTCTCCCACCCAAATCTTTAATCCCTTAAAAAAAGTCTTTCCTACGTTTATAAAGACGGATGGTGAATTGCTGGATCCCCATGGAGTACTTACTTGCGAGTATAGTCCCTTTAAAGTCAGTACAGTGCATATGTAAGTTTACAAACTGATCCATAGGGACTGAGTCTATGAAACTGAGTGTCCTTTATAGATACAAAGGTTGCAAGTTGTAATGCACAAAGGCAGCTTGTCAATATTATATGCCTGTATATTAAAAATTAATCTGCTGAAAGAATGCCGTAGGCAACAAAAATTGTTCAATTTTAGGAGATCATTTCAGCAGAATAACACTTACTGGGCCCTATGGTAACTCAGACAACGTATGCAAATATAAATATGAATTATTTCCACATAGAAATTACAGACATCTATAAGGTGTTGAAATGTTAATACCATCCATAATTTTTATGTATGATTCACAAAATTAAGGGGGAGATGGAAGACATTTGGTGGTGCTTTACTTTCATTTATGTAAGTTGCTAGATACTCCTTTCAGAATAGGGTTAAAACTCCTTTTTTCCCCAAGTCAGAGAAATGTTTATTCATCTTAGTTTTATCACTACATTAATTGGATCTACAGGACTTGCAGTTGGCATTAGGGCACAGGCAAAGCAAAAGTCTGCACAGTCTGCAAAAAAGTTTGCACAGTCTGCAAAAGATTGCATGGACATGGCTTAGACTATTCTCTCTCTCTCTCTCTTTGCCGGCCCAAAGGACAGTTCTTTGCTTAAGGTTAAGTTTGATACCTGGAAAGATGCAAGATGGAAAGACTGGCTTGCAGATAAGATGGTGACTGGATTGGCAGGGAGGTTACAGCTTCATACGTGAGAGTATTTCATCCATTTGCAATGAGCAGAGGCACTGTTAAGGACTTGTGATGAAAAGTAAAGAGAAAATAGCGGACTTCTGTGTAGACCACAGTACAGCTTCGATAGAAAATAAAGAAACCTGCCCAAACTGCCCAATGGTTCCTGAGTGCCGAGGCCCCTTGTCCCCAAGCATGGTCACCCGCCCTCCCTGCCCGGAGTATTTCTGAAGTTCATGTCATAAGAACTTGGATCCTAATTTACACTGATTTTTGTCAGGCAGAATTGCGAGATGAAAGACGGTGTTGACAAGACATCAGGGACTAATCTAATATCTCTTTTTTATGAATCTTTCAGGGCAATCAGGACAGCTATGATGAAACTTGCTGCTCCTGTTTAATTTCTCATTTTTTGAAAACTGCAATACCCAGTGCTAAAAATTGGTGTCCCTCGCAAGAAGTAAATCTCACAAAATTAGTTTGGGGGAGAGCACTAATCTAAAAATAACAATCCTGCATAAGATTCTGTGTCAGGTGCCTCATATGCAGAAAACGGAGAGAGTATTTTATCTAATTAAGTAGGGGGGTAGGGGAAAAATAGGCAGATTCATATAGAGGTAGTGGGATTTTGGCTGATGAGTTATATGCATAGTAAAAACCAACGCCGTCTCATCATTCCTGCAGGAATG